AAGGATGGTTGTCCATCTATTCACCGTGGTCATCAGGTTGATTATTCAAGAATGACGCTTCTTGAAACCATCATGTTGGGGTGAAAAGAAGTTTAAGCTTAATGGATAGTCTTTGTAAGATCCATTTTGAATGTTTTGTGTGTTGGTGAAAATCTCTCCATGTATATACTTGCACTTTGTTCCTATTGATCCGCTTAGTTGTACATTGTTGTCATTTCATTACATTTCAATTGTTAATACTTGTATTTTTTAATTATAGTTTTTGTTTTTCTTACGCATTCACTAAGTTTTTGTTTCTTCCCGAACTGCATCTGTGTTGTTTTACTGGACACTTGTTTTTGGCGGTAGCCATATTGATTTGCTCGTCCTTTTGTGTGTTCTATCCAGTCAGGATAGAATAACTGTAACGGAAAGAGAACAGTGAAAATCCCTCTGTAGCTACTTTGTCGAACAGTATTTTTATTTATTTGTTCCTTCTCCTTTTTGTGTATTCCAACCTTTGTTTCGATCTCGTTTAGCCGTGTCTTTTGTTCTTCAGTCTTCCCCGTTTGAGCCTTTATTATGTGATTTTGATTAAAGACTTATTTTTGTTACCTAATTTTCTATTGCATGTTGCCGGACCATCGACAGTAAGGTTGTGTTTGACTAAGCTCAAGGTCACGGCGTGGTTCAGTTTGTGACTGTTAGCCTTCTGACTGTCTGCTTTGGAGAATTGCTGCAATCCCTGCAAATAGATATTTGATCCCATCTTATTGGGAATATTTGTATTGATTCTCAGGTATCAAACCCTTTAGTATTAACTGTCTCTTTCATTGTTTAGCGCGCTACTTTGCGTTAGAGAAACTTCTGACTGTATAGCACAGGCTGTACCGTTTGAGGTATTTTGTATTTTTAATGTAATTTGTTCTGTTTTCTTAATTAGAACCGTTTATATTGAGCACAGAGTTTGTGTTTTGATATAATATAATACGAGTATCTCAAAGACGTGTTGTGAGCTATACAGAGGGACTTGGTCTGGTCTAATCGAATAAATTTAGGGTTCATCAGTCCGTTGTTCCAACCGAATATTGGCTGTTCGGTCGTTACAATAACGTTCATTTGTTGTGACTGATTTTATTGATTGAACAATTATTGATTGAATAGCCGGGTGGTAATATTTGTTTAGAACCGCTATTTACCCGATTACTTGTTTTGATTTCGACGGGAAATGGCGCGTGTCTAACGTACCTGGAAGGCTATTCAGCAGTCCAAACCGTAGTTTGGATCTTACAGTCATGTGTAGCATCGCATATCAGCGACTCCATGATTTTCGAAGGTATGAAGGGAAGAGCTACCGGTCGGTTGATCGAATTTGGTGTGATGTAAACCAGACTCCAAATCTCCGGTAGTTCGCCTCAGCTTAGCTAGTGTGAGAACATCACGCTAAGTGGTGTTGACAGGATTGAAGCTGCTTCCCTCCGTATAGCAGAATGAACCACATACGGACCAGGGTTAGTGTCTTATCTTAGGTGCTGCAGATTCCGGTACATCAAGTCAGCGCTCAGGTTCACTTCGGAAGGTCATGCGCAATTGCAGATGATGCTTACATCAATATAGTTGGTGTGGGTTGGTTGAAATATCTGAGAGCATCGTTGTGACTCAGAAAACGAAGAGTGTGGTTCTTGATGGTTGTAGATTGCTTGTAGATCCGGGGGATCATTTGAGGAACAGACTGCTTTGTAGAACAAAAGATTGTGTGCAGTAGGAAATCCTAATGAGTATCCATGTCAAGTTGATGGTGGACATCCCAATCCACCTGTTGTAGATAGTTCTGTGAATCTGACACATTCAACCGCTTAAAATTCCAGCGTCTGTTGTTGGTGATATGTCTTAGCTCAGTTTCGCCGATGAAACTGAAGGCTATGACGGCGTGATCGCTCCTCCCCACGGAAGCCAGGATTGAGAGGTTGCCAACTAGGGATTCTTCGTTTGTAAATACCCAGTCCAAGCGTGATGGCGTCCTCAAGAATCAAGATATAAGTGAATCCGAGACCCGTAGGGCGGGATAATCCTTTCAGCATGCGATTGCCGTAATCGATGTCAGCAGTGGGCTTCCTGTAGATGATTTCAACTAGACACCTCGAGGTTGGAGACATGCTTACTTCACATCATATGGATTCATCTAGATTGATAAAATCTTGGTTGTTCACGTGATGTACCTTCTCACAGGATCATAAGTGTAGGGCTGTCCCAACCCCAATCCCTGTTTTTCTATCATGGCGAAAAAAAACATCCCGGGTATTCCCAGCTCCTGGTCCGTAAACTGAGAAGATATCCATGTTTCAGATATTCCCGTCAGATGACTATTATTAGCACTACTGAGTTCATCCATTTTATTCGGTAAACTCGCGACGTTTGTGTATAATCAGTTTATGCTTTCAATTTAAAACGTATAAGCATCTCCTTCCTGTTTGTCTGTATAAGCCTTACGTGAACTGACAGGTAGCCTACCTATACAAGGTTTTCCGATTTGATAGCCCCTGTCCTTTACACGTTTTTTTATGATCAGGACAATCCACGAGTGGAGTGGTCAGCTCCAACTTGCCTTTGTGCTTGATCCTAGCGTCATGTGGTCTATCCGGATGCACATAGATATCAATTGGCAACCGACGTCTGTTGGCACGAAATGTTTCCAGAGTTGCTGCCACCATATGAGAGAATGGGAAAGTTATCTTCATTCAGTTCACAATAATGATAATAACAGCGGGCTGTTCTACATGTGTCCATCTTTACAGCTTGATTACCAGCTACTCCTTTAAATTGTACACGTTACTTGTTTGGATACGGCGTTTCAGTCATTGGCCGCTAGGAGTCCCAATATGAGTTTACTTGATCGCAGTTTTTGAATTTTCGTCCTGTGACCCTAAAGACGATAAGTTCTAGGGGAGAAAAAAGATAAGACATGCTGACGCCCTCATGATCAGGATACAAAATGCTAACATTAAGTCACGTCATGTTTCACAATTGGATTATAGAGACAGTTTTAAGAGCCTATTGTTTAATATACTCTGATATTTTAACATCCTTAATGAGACATTAACTAACTGCAGACAAGTTCAGAAACGGTGTTCTAAAGCTATGTACTGATCTTTAGTGCATCAACTACTACAAACAATAGTTTTTCTTCCTAAAAGTTTTAATGAAACACTCGTGAACCTAACTGTTTAATAGTTTGTCGGGTGTTGGCTCTGCCTTGTCTTATAAATCGGGAGGTTCGGTACATTTGTTCAGTTCAACTACCACCCATCCTGGATGACTGACATTTTGAATCGCTGACTCAAGCTATTGTAGTAATCGAACTTTTAACCTACTCTATCCCGATTTTTCAATGTTTAAGGAGTTTAATTTTCGGTATCACATTGTGTCGGTTGAAGCCTACGGCGAGTAAAAGGTTTGCAGACTACTTCCGGAATGGGTTTTGCATCGAGGGGTCTCATGATTGAAGAACGTTCCCAAGTAAACGGTCACAGTTCCTGCTCTGCCCTGAGAAGTTCTCTGGTCACCGCACATTCGTAGTGAACTCCAAGACTTGACTAACAGTGAAGAGCAAATAGCATCCACATGATGCAAACACTTATGTCGCCATTTTAGAGTCCGAATTTGTTCCCTAGGGTATGCGTTGAAACTAAATTTATTTTAACGTTTAGAAAGATCTCAGGGATTATTTATGATGCTACGATGAGTGTTTTCGTGTACGTTGTTTGAGACCATTGTTATTCCTCTTGCATTTAAATGACCTTCCTGGTTTCCTATCATCATCGGTCTTGCTATATGCTAACGATGTCAAGACATGAAGAATGATAAAATGTAAAGGTGATAGATTAGAGCTTCGAAACGACCTGGAAAAATTATCCCATATGATGCTCGACTAAACTAGACCTATTTTCATTATCATATAGAGGAATCAGAGCCGACTTGATCATAGTTTTTAAATTACTTATCGATAAAGTTGATTTTTAATATGCTTTCACTTTTCTTGCTTTTCAAGACAATCGATTTACGTGTGCATTCTAAAAACGTTCACAAGGCCACAAAAAATTACTTGTCAGCCGACCATCGACTTTCTCATTGAATCATCAGCTGATGCAATTCATCACTTCAATACGTGATTGAAGCTTATCTGTCGGCGCATTCAAGGGACGTTGTGTCAACTGATAGACCACGATTGCCAGGACTAACACAGGTTGCCTAGCCTTCTGTCATTTGCAAACTTAAACTGAAATCAATTGTAACGATTGGTTTCGTCTTAAAGGACAGTTATATTCAATGAGGTTTGTAAAAACAAAATATAAGCGACAATGTTTTCTTTATTTGTAACGCTTTATATGTAACCACATTTGTATTAAATATCTTTTGTTTCTGCGCATCATTTTGCAAAACGAACATAACATTTTGGCAGTTTTAACACACGAGCCATCGTTTTTTTTTAGATAAACACTATCTCCGTCGTCCGTACCTCTACTTTATTAGACACGTTCTGTGGTTTAAGATTATAATACTGTTTTAACATCCTTTTAGACCACTCTACACTACGTCAGAGTTTTGGCCCAAATTATTATTGAATAATACTGTCGAGTTTCTCTTTATTGTCACGCCGTTTATGTCATCACATGCAGAGGAACTTTCATTAATCAAGTGAACTCACTTGTAACGCAAGGAAAACGCTGAAAATATCTCCATGGCACCTCATTAGACAGTACTGTAATTCATTTGTCTTTCCACCCTGTCTCATATTTTAACCGTTGTTCAAGTCTCTTTTTAACCTTGCATCATATTCTTCAGTCATCCTCACTAGCTCTTCTATTATGTGGCCTTGGATAAAGATTTATTTTGTTACTTAATTTTAGTGTTGCATGTTGCTGGACCATTGGCAATAAGATCGTGTCTGAATAACCTCGGGGTCACGATTTAGTCCCGTATATGACTGTCGGCGTTTGACTGTCTATGATAAATAAAAATGGTTTCCCATTCCAACTCAAATCAATTTATGTTATTAGGTAAGTCATGTGAAGGAAATGAAAATCAACATCTTACTGTAATACATATTATGGTCACATAATATTACTTCAAGTAAACATAATGTTTACAATGAACGATGAAAATATTTTAAAATGTAAAACCCATGATAATCTGTTCGTCATGATTTATGCCATTTACCAATATTACGTTTAAAATAGTAATGTATTGATTACTTTTGAAAAAAGCCTTTCAAAACGCATATTGATCCGATAGCGGACCAATATAACCCAAACGTAACAGATGACATCTGGAATAAAAAGCAAAAGATAATGTTTAATTATATAAATAAAGTCGAAAGTACTCGGTACGATTTTATGGATGCATTTGAATATGAATTACATTCTGAACTACAATCATCTATAGAGCCAGCAAGGGGTCACAAGACAACTGTATCGTTTTAGTATGGAAGTCCTTTGAACTTCACATGCATGATTGGACGTGGCGTGAAACTCAAGATATTCAAGTCTTTCTAAAGGCATCAAACGTTTCAATTACTGAATTCAGTGATTGATATTTCTAAATCAAGATATCCTTGGGCATAGTTTCTTAAAAAAAACCTATAGAACCTCTCTAGATTTTTATCGCTAGTAGTTAATCACATGGCTTATAAATATTAGTTAAATTTGAGAATATATATATATATATATAATAGTATCCAGCTTGTTTTACTGATTTTCAAAACATTTTATAAATCACGCATACATTTTTAGTTTCGTCTGCCTGAAATTATTCATGGGTTATTATATCGTCAAAATAATTTCACTATAATATTTGTTTTCACGATAGATTCGATAAATTTTACGTTCACTAAGGGGTTTTGTACATATTCTAGTATTTTAAGGGTTGAATCCACGGGTCTATCTAAGCTAGACCACTACTGAAAACCTGAGAGCACTGGACGGCCGTTTTATATGAGTATGGGACTCAAAAGTGCTCATCTAAGGTCCCACACAGGGCACTCGAATCTAGGACCTTCGGTTTCGCACACGAACTCTTAACCTCCAGGCTACCGTTTCAGCATCCAAGGGTGTTAGTTTCTAACCTCAGTGAATCCATCCTCTTGCTCAACTCTTCATTCATTGTCTGGGGTGGATAGCTGTCTCCAGTCGACACGGATTGGACTCCATCACTCTTAATTTTCCAGTATTTTGACATTACTTTCCATAATAGTCATTAAAAACCGATAGTAATACATCTTTGGTTATTATAACTTTTACATCGAAATAGTTTTATGTATTCCGCATAAAAGGACAGAATTTGAACGAGTGCAACTGATATGACGCTGATGACTATAACAAAAGTATATGGAGATGAGTTCAGTTTCAAAACGTAAAACGTGACAGCTGTAAGCTTTGCCTTTTAAGATGGTGTTTTAAGTCCTCTAGTCTCATTCATGTCATTCACAAAGCTGGCGATAAAATGGTTAATTGAGTTTACCAAGGTTTACATATTTAAACATCATTTGACATGAAGCCAAATGAATTTTTTTAGAAAATTTTAAGATGATGTTTGACTTACAATACTTTCACAAGGCATCTAACATAAAAAAAATAACAAGCGACATTTTGTTGTTTTACCAAGTAAATATCATAATAACATGTGGTGATTACTTTATGACTGATTATGTGAGTTTTCAACTAGCCCGATACTATGGTCATTTGAAATAACTCACATGTTGAAGAATAAGTATCCTTTAAAACTTGTTCAGTGTTTTCATTCTCAATCTTCCAAATATGAACGCTTCGCCATAATTTGTATTGAATGCATATATATATATATATATATATATATATATATATATATAGATTTTGAGCTCTGATTACTTGATTCTCTCGAGAAAATTGATTATTTATTTAAAGAAATATAAGTAGTTTTAGTTATATCCATAAGTAGATATAATGTAAAGTCCATCATATGTTCACTCTCGAATAGACTGTATTCATTCCTAAAACATTTTATGTAAATGTTCAATTTGATGTACTTTTTCTCTCATTGAGAATGTGGACGGTATTATCTTATGAATTGGTAAGTATAAAATTATTTTGATTTCAGCTAATATTTCAACAAAGTGAGAACAATGTTAAATCACTTAGACTAGTGGTCACATTAGAACTTACTGCACCTAAACGACTGAACAAACGTGACATTGGTCTTAACACAAGAACCAGTCAGTTATAAATGTATCAGTCCTACAGAAGGTCAGACCCTACCAAAATAACTTGGTTATAACATCTCATCTGGGTAATACGAGTTGGAATCATACATAGCGTCGATTTCCTTAAGAGAGCAGGTATGTCTTGTTTACGAATACTAATTAATATGAAATCTCAGTTCATAATCCTGTAACTGTTAGTTCCAACCACCAAACACGATATGAAGTATTTTGATTTTCTGTAAACTTCTAATTGGTGTACGTTTGAAATTTCTACTGATGTTTGACGTATGTGACAATATACTTTTTAACATGCATATGTCCAGCACTATTTTTATTGGTTTACCTTACATTGGAGGTTTATGTACTCAAATATATCATAGCTTTGAAACCCCTATTATAATTTGCCTTGTCACCGATTATCCCAATTTCCCCTATAGTTAGAATATTTAAGTAGTATGCTGTATACGAAATCGCTTTTATTTCTCTGTACAGCATTCACTCTATACATATCATTTTAAACTCACAGTAATTAAAAAAATAAATTATCACATAAACGTACCTGAAGTAAAGTCGTAACTTCCTAACGATAAAAGTCAAGAGTGGATGAATTTAATATTGTGCACTTGAGGTACCAAACTGAAAGGTCTAATACTAAATTTCTAGGTCGCCAGTGATAAATATTAATACTCTGAAGCTTCTAACTAGTGGTAAATAAATCATAAGAAATAAATGAACGTTAAATATTGTACTACTCAATTATTGTAGCAATATAACATATAGGAAGAGCGAATCCATCACTGTTTATTGATGAGACTGTGTCACTCTAGTCTGTCGATCAGTTGACTAAAAATGTACTGATGTTTTAATATTGAAACATGAGTAAGTTTTCCATGATTTCAGTAATAAATGCAATTAATGAATTATTTTTCAGAAAAGCCACTTAGTTTTGTGAAGGAATACATTTCCTTTCAAGTTCTTCATTGAATCCTAAAGTGTTCCACTTATTCGATTACTGAAGTAGAACAAGTAGCGTTTTAAAGTGTTCTCAATGGATGTTGATTGTTATTGTGCCGACGTTAGATTCTAATTGAATACGATCTGCGTTACTCCAGTAATCAGTCGACTATTCACAAAAAATATTTTCAAGTATTCTGCTCAAATATCATTAGTTTGGAAGCAGCTAATTTCTGCTCGGTCACTAGCTTACTGAAAAGGTTAGCTGAGAAACACTACGAATTAAAATGATATTGTCACTTACTCCATAAATGTCCTGTAAAGCACAACGTCAAAGAAATCAAGAAAATGCTCATAAATTTCATAAGTTCTGATCTTTTTTGGTCAGACATATGAACTGATCATAAAATAACATTGTAATGCTTAAGTATAGGGTTGTGTAGATTGCTGAATTTCGTTAAAATCATGAACCAAACTAAATTAGACCACCGTCGAATAATGATTCAACTTGGGTTGGTTCTTGATTTCTATGGAACTTCGATGTTAATTTATTTAAGTGAACAATCAAATTGGAAGAATGTCGATTGCTAAGCGATGGATAAAGTTGATACTCTATAATTTCTAAGATATTCAACATATTTTTCTTAAGATAAGATCTCATACTTGATACACACATATATCATACTTACGTTTGATATGGTTTATACACACTTGTGATTACTCGTAACTGATATTCAGTAGTGTAAATATCAATAACCGAAAGGCAAATCATCTTAACAAATATTTAAAAAAACTATTCAAAACTATTGAAATGACGGGTACTAGGTTCTAGTCTAGTCTTAATTAAGAAAAACAGAAATCCTAGAATCTACCCAAAAATGCAGTCACTTACATATCATGGTCTAATAAAAATCATTATTTATTATATGTTATCATAATGTTTAGGTGACTAATAAAATCACTATTTTTATTAGACAGTTATAAACAAGCGTTAGTGTTTTGTCACTGATAATTCCAATAGAAAGACGAAAGTCCTTCTGATAATAAAAAACTCTGGACTTACATTTCATGTAAGTTGCCATTCGTCAGCAAGACTTACTTACAGTAAAAGACGTTTTCTGTGTATGACACGGTTTTCAGCTCTATATGGAACATTTATTCCTTCAACGTTTCAGGAACACCTTGCTAACAAGTACCAACTAACATGAAACGTCTGCCTACTGTTTCATGTTGACCATCTCCAACCAACATAGTACAAGCGGTATTAAGTCACATGAAATAATGGTCATATTGTTACTTGGTCCATGGACTCCCATCAATAATAAAGGACTAAAAAAATATCAAGTAGGTTTCTGCTCAATGATCAACCAACTACAATCAGGTGATTTATAACTCATAACACATGAAACCCAACCTGTCGATGAGAAGAAATTGCGAAATATTTACCATAGGAAGTTACTCTTGGTCATTTCTTTAAAAAGTTAAATTATTTTAATGAATTTTGATTGAAACATTTAAATTAATCTAGATTTAGCTGGAAAGTACTGGTGGGCGGTCTATTCCCGTCGACGAAGTGTAACAGGCGTAAGTAAGTAAGATTTAAATTTTACATCGAGAAATACACACATAGATCAAAAGACCTATTTAGTTCGATGTAAGAGATGCCTATTGACATGAACACATTCTAATCAAATATATCAAATGGTAGTAGAGAATAAAAATATAATATTCAGTTATTTACTGGACAAAATGACATACTTTTATGCAGTACTACCAAGAAAATAACATTTAGGTTAATTAAGTTAAACTTAGTTTAATAAATCTTATGTCTACTCATGAGCATACCATTAAACAGTAAGTAATTTTTCAATTAAACAAGACACAGACGGCATTTAAGTCACTATAGTTTGACTAGTAAAGTTTAAACATCTTTAGTGTAAAACTGAAATCATCGATATTGCCCGATTTTGAATGTCTAGAGGTTAAACACTCCTCATTAAACAAGAATATCTTAACTATAACCCCTTGAAACAGTTGTAAACATACACTGTATAGAAACTAAACAATAGATCTGTACCGGTAAATAAATCCCCAAAATAAATAGCTCTGTAAGTTTTCGACATTGGATGCTGACCACATGTTTTAATGGACTCATCTAGCTGAAGGTGCTCGGTCATGCATCCGCATCAGATCATGAGCGGGAACTCCGTGCTCAACATCTACTGCAATCGCTAGCCAGATTAGATCAGACGATTCTCGATATATTGATACTCATCAAATATATCTTCCAATCTCCTCGATTCTGTCTTTTGATTTCTCTTGGTGAGTACGAGTTATATTAGGTGTTACGGGTTAAAGCGTTGTCAAACTCTGAATACTTGTGGCATCTTTATTGGTGAGCCCGACGTGATTACTAAAATGCGGTCGGCAGATGCAGCTAGCTCGTTTCAGGCGTTGTTGTGGAAAGAGACAAGCACAGCTTGCACCTGTTGAGGAAGTTTCGACATGAACCCTTTAGTTTTCGATTGTTCTCATACTTCATTCAAACTATGATACAAGGTAAAAGTCAGTTTATTAACAAATAAACATGATACTACTTTATAAATTGAGTTAGAATCTAGAGTATTTCAATATTTCGTTTAATTACGTAATGAACCCTTAATGTAAAATAACATATTACTAAGACTAAGAAACAATGCTATGGATTATTGACTATTGTCTCCATGTTAATACAGATTTATATAATATAGTGTTAGATATCTTTACTCCTTTAATTAATGTATCATTTATGAAATATCTAAACAATGAGATGTCAAATGACTGTCAACAAAACACAAAAAAATGTAATTGACAGTTACAATATATAAAATAGGCGTTTCTGTTGTACAGATTATTGTTTCGTTTGTTTTGTTTTTCTAAACACATCAAAGATGTAGCGGTAGCATTACTTTGAATTACTTTGAAAACACACATAAATCTCAGTTCTAGGAATGTTTTACACACATGTAAGTATGAATTGGGTTTGTTGTATTATTGTTACAAATTTTTTCTAATCTTTCGTTTTGAAATTTCTAACTTCTATGTATACGAAGGGGATTTCGTGGTTATTATAGTAATGTTAATACTTAAGATCACGTGTCAATTAAAGCTATACAACCGTGAGAAACCTGGATGCACTGGACGGCCGTTTCGTTCAGTTATGGGACTCTTCAACAATATGCCTCGCGAGATTCGAACCCAGGAACTATCAGTTTTGCAAGCGAACGCCTAACCTCTAGACCAATGAGCCGGGAGCGCGGATAAGAACTGCTGAGGAGCCCCACAATAGGATGAAACGGCCGTCCAGTGCTTCCGCGTTTTCCATGGTGGTCTAGTTTCAATTTACTCATAATTTCAACTATTAACATTCTACGTATTCATTCATGTCATTGTTTAAGGAACAAATGATATTCATAGAATAAGGGTCTGTGAAGATGAATATTACTTAAAAAATGTATGAAGTAGTTTATTAGATTTCAATAAAGAAAAGTGTAAATCTTAACAAATGGTAGTGCTCACTGATTGCTGCAGCTAAAAAAATTTAAGTTTTTATAAAAAATTTATTCTTTTCAACTAATTCATGTTCTGTATTAAAGAGGAAGAATGTATTTGTAAAATCTCAGTGAATGAATTTGAAGTAAATTCAACGTTTGGTACTCGGCAATCTGGCCTAAGCTTTTTTCAACGAAATATAATCAAACATAAAAATTATCGAATATAAATAATTATATGGTTCTTCAGTTAAATGTATACCAAACAGATCATCCGATCGTGTTAACAATGTTTAAGATAGGTATTCGCTTCAATGTGTATAAGATATGTGGTGTGCAACAAAATGTGTATTAAGATAATAGATTGTGTGTATTCGGAAGTGAATCTGAGGTGTGAGAAGTTTCATTCGCTATTCATAGCCTCTAATTCACGTACGTGGAATTATATAATTTTATTCATTTGTCAACCATCTTATTCAAAATACATGGTAAATGGATGTTTGGGAAAGAATGCATTTCGTATGACTTCATATCAATGTATGAGCATTACTGCAAACCAATTGAAGTTGGAAACATAAACTATCAAACGCTATCTAAGTGATCCAAAGGTTACATGCTCATTATGAGACCTGAGGGTATATGGCTAGGTTTTCAATGGGGTTTTATATGACCACTGTATCGGAGTCTCATACTAGGATCAAACGGAAATACATTGTTTCTTCATTTTCAAAGTTCATCCAAGTTCAGTTTTTGTTTTAGATTATCAAGGTTTCATTCAGTAACAAAAGAGCTGTTAATCTATTCAAGTACTATACCAAAGACGTATGAAACGTGCTCCTCAAATATATCTTTTACTACAATTCCAGTTAAAGTAACATTTCAATAATAAAAATCCTATCAAAAAATCGTAAAGACAACAGTATTTTAGACATTAGTTATCAATCAGATGTATTTCCATGACAATCGCATTATAAATTGAACTATAAATCTTCGACTTTCTATGTATTGAGTTTGTTTTGAGACATTGTTATCTGCATCATCATTAATTACGATAGATCTAGTTGAAATAGTCGCGTCATTTCATGCAACTAATTAATAAAAGTCTCTCGGTACTTTACTTTGGTTTGCGATCCTCCATGATAAAAACAATTGAAAAAAGTATCAGAAATTTAATCATGACCTAATTAGTTTCAATGCATTTTACAAACGAAAGGCTCTTTGTTATGCAACTGTTTGACTATCTTTTGTGTCTAATCGATACTCAGCCTAGCAGTCTCACTCTCATCCATGTCTTAATGCGATAAAATATACTTGACTAGTTCGATCAAGTAAGTTTCTTTCTTTACAATATTGTGATTTGTTTGTACATAATAAGTGAGAACAACATTTAAAGGAGCATGTTATCAGTACCCTGAAATTCTATCATATTAAATAGGGTGAGTTTACCCGTCACATGTTCAATGTTCATGCAATACGGCCTACCATGAAATCCCGAAAATTTCGAGTTTCTTTATTTAATGTGTGCTGCATATTGAGGTGTAATTTTCATCAGACATTTCAATTCAGAACTTAAGATTCCATGTATTTGTATTTATTATTCAGTATATTCGTTTGGGTAACATTGATATATCCATAGCAAATAATCGTTGATAAGTCATAGTGCTTGAAATGAAATCTTTGGTGAAAATCACTCTCTCTCTCTCTCTGTGTGTGTTTTCTGGACCTCTTCCAAAAAAGGAATATCTGAAAGTACTTGTTAATATCACATTGCGTTAATGTTGAGAACTTGATGAATAACCACAAGACGTTATTAAAATAATAAAATACGTTGGTAATTACATATAGTTTCTTACCGTCGGTTGAAATAATTACTGTTAAAATGAAAGTGATACACCATAATATACGAACACATTGATACATTTCTGTTACAAATGAAAAACATATATGAGAATGGCTATCATACAATTTTATAATACACCACACCCTAAATAAAAGCGTGTTTCTTTCGAGGCCACACAAAAAAAACCAATTAGAATAGATTATACAATGGTTTCTATGTAAGAATTTAAAGTAATGTTATTTGTTATTGATTAGCACAATAAATTCTGAATGTACCTTATTTATGAAGTAACTGTCGATGTTTGACGTTTACATGACGTATTTTACCTTAATTCAAGCGACATTTAAAACCATGATGTCATGGATAATTGTTTTGTTTTATCATTAGGCTCTTCAAGTAGGGTGCATTCATGACTCTAACAGAAGACGAACCCTGGGCCTGTGTGTTTTTTCTACTTTTAGAATACTGAGCAGGCGTCGATTGATGTATATATGATGTAAGCTATAAAGTTTTATTTATATTTGAACAAGAAACTTAAATCCTTTAACGGGACTAGAATAAATGGATAAAGATGTATAGTTACTGTTGGCTATTTTTTGAAGATCTTTATGTAGTTTTGTCTTCGCGAGAAATTTTAGTTACATCCGTGAGAAAACCTAGAAGTCGTTAAGTCCCATACTATTACTCATAAGATTACATGAAAATTTGTATTATTATTGTTGAAAGATGTTCACGATTATTCCAAGTTAATTCTCAACTGAATCTAGATGTAATCGTCTTATAAACTGTTGAAGTTTACATACTTACATATTTCAATGGCAGGGTATAGTAGCAATCTGAAGTATCTTCATCCAAAAATCTATCATTTATGTGACTCAAAGTAATATTATACAAAAGATTAGTTGTGTGTGTTTACACTCAATAATGGGATGAATGAAAATACTTTAGGTATTTTAATACTGTAACTACTGGAGATTGTATCACAGAAATTTTTACAACAAGGTATGTACACTGGCATTTTTTAAAGTATTTCATAATAATTTTACCACGATGAAAGGGTGTTATGTCCGCGGAATGCTTGACTGACTTGATACATGGTACCAGGAAACTGTGAGTTGGAAGACGTAAGAAAGAACTCAAAGACGGTTGATGAGGAACTATTCATTCTGCGGAATAAGACAAAAGGATATATGAGTTTACTCATTTTTATATAATTTATTGACAGTCAGATTTGTATAAATTGAAATGAATGATAGTTAACATTATTTAACCAACAGCTTGCTATGTGAACACATTTAAAATACCATACGACTAGGCATCTATAATTAATATACTGAGACCGAAGACCCTGGGTTCGAATCCCGAGAGAGAAACGTGGATGAGAACTGCTGAGGAGTCCCATAATAGGACGAAACGGCCGTCCAGTGCTTCCAGGTTGATGATCTAACACCAATTGGTTCATGATCTCAGTCAAAAACTAAATTATTTAATTACTCAAGATGTGATCAAATGTTGCGGACGATAGGAAAAGATAAATTCCATGTGTCTTTTAAGCACTGATCGTTAAAGTCATTCCTCATCATATCAAAGAATAAGCTCATTTCGCGCGGTGGCAAATAGACTATGATTCAGAGTAGCCTCTGCGATTAAATTTTTTCAATTAAATGTTCTGATTAAAACTGATTTCTTTGGTACACGGAGAAAGCTGTGTTACATGTGAAAAATTCTAAATACTGAACTACCTAAAACAATTCATTGATATATTAAGTAAAGATGGAAACGGGCTAGCGATGGAATCGAGGACCCGAGTTTCGTCCTATTTTGGACTCATCAACTGGATGTGCCGGCATCTCAGAGTTCATGTTCACTTCAGAACCGTTGGCTTCAAACACCATCTCGTTATCCACTTAGCTACCGAGCTCTAATAGTCACTTACTTGTGTAATAGGGTGAAATTTAAATTCACCTGTGAATTAAAGCAATATGGAGACACTACGCACAATATGCCCATATGCCAATAAGAAACTGATCAATTGCAGCCGTAAACATCAACTGAAAGATTCAAACAAGCAATACCAAGTGAATCTAACTCACTGGCATATTTTCTAGTTTATATCACTGACTACCTTAAATAAGACAACTGTTGAAAACGAGTAAAATTGAAATGAAAAGTGTGACAAGTGTACATATTTTATATCGGAAACTTTTAGAATAAGCTGAGTGGAGATAGAATAATATTAAGATACAATAATAATATGAATGAGTTAATATTATTCGCTAGTCGGTGGCCTATGCTCCATTAGAAGTAACAGGCGAAAGTAAGTAAATATTATTCATTTCAATTGATTAGGTTGTAAGCAACTGAGAGGAATCCACGAAATAAATGAATTCATGTTATTCTGGCACAATATTTGTTCTTTCGATATTTAAGTTTAGAAATGGGAGAAATTGCATAAAAACTAGGAAAGACTGAACATCTATTTCATTCTAGTATGGAACATGGTAACAGTAAACATCAACGACCCTACCAGCAGATATCACAGTATTGTTATCTGAGTTTTTATAAGCATAAAATGATTTGGTATAATTTCACTGAGTGTGAATTTTATCATGATAATTTCCAGAGTGTTCCCCAATAAATACATTTAAAAATCAACTGACCACAACAATGCATAATATAACACCCAATTGTAATCTATTAATGATGTCAACAGCAAAAATCCATCGCTTATAGTTTATGTGAACAAATGCAGATAAAGACAGCCAGTGTAGCAGCAGTCTCTGCATCCGTAAGCCTCAACATACACAAGGGAAAACCAAGGTCCTCAAATACAACACAGAGAACACCAATTTAATCACACTTGATGACGAAACTCTGGAAGATGTAGAATCCTTCACATACGTGGGAAGCATCATCGATGAACAAGGAAGATCAGATGCAGACGTAAAGGCGAGGATTGGCAAAGCAAGGGCCGCATTCCTTCAATTGAAGAATATATGGAACTCAAAACAACTTTCAACCAATATCAAAGTCAGAATCTTTAATACGAACGTCAAGGCAGTTCTACTGTATGGAGCTGGAACTTGGAGAACTACCACAACCACCATCAAGAAGGTACAAGTATTTATAAATACCTGTCTACGCAACATACTCAACATCCATTGGCCGGATACCATCAGCAAAATCCTCCTGTGGGAGAGAGCAAACCATCTTCTAGCTAAAGAGGAAATTAGGAAAAGACGATGGAAATGGATAGGACATACATTACGCAAATCGTCAAACTGCATCACGAGGTAAGCCCTAACTTGAAATCGTGAAGGGAAGCGGGAAGGAGAAAGGCCAAAGAACACATTACGTTAGGAAATGGAAGCAGATATGAAAGGGATGAATAACAACTGGAAGGAGCCGGAAAGGATTGCCCGGGACAGTATTGGATGGAGAATGCTGTTGAGCGGTCTATGCTCCTTCACGAGAAGTAACAGGCGTGAGTAAATAAGTAAGTATAGTTTATATCAGGAATATTGATAAGGTTATTAAGAGCCGAGTATTCATATTTTGGAAATTCCTATGTTTATGTTCCAAGTAATCAGGAGTTTCAGCTACAAATTGCTTGTTTTATCTATTATTTCTGAAGACTTTACTGAGTATGTAGTCCTAATGAATGATGCCATGACATCAGTAATTGTAAGTTCAAAGTTCCTAAATCCTTTTCTTAGCAGAACCTGGTTAACTTTACTATTCAAATAACGATCCCTCCTACCATTATTTGTTTCCGATTTATATATAAGCCTAATACGACAGTGCGATGGACCCTCTAATCAAAAACGGACTTATCACCAAGTTTTCATAAGAAATAAAGGTCATAATATGTAATTCATAAAACAAAATCTGCAAAGCTAGTTGAATATAACTCTAAAGAGATACTCTACTATGGTGAAACATTGGAGTAAGCAATATTAAGGTTGAGTGTAGTATACGACGTTGAGATAAGAAACTGATTGGTAGATTGCGAATCTTAATTGACTAAGGTGATTGCAACATGAGTTTAATTCTCAACGTGATAACAAGAGACATTTTTTTATTTAAAATACTTTTATTCTAAACAATATATTGGAGTTACTGAATAAGCATAAGGTAAAAAATAATCCAAACTTTAAATTTTTTAATTCAGTTGCAACCGTTTGAAACTTTCCGTTGTTGAAATTAGAGACTGCAATTGATTAGTCTCTTTTGGTAGATATGTACCTTGAACGGACTGCGTCAATATTTTCATCAGTAACAAGCATTTCTGAGAAGAAGTGAATAGTCACTAGCAATAAAATTCAGCAAGTGCGTTTTAACATATTTGTATCTCGTCAGCTGGTTGCATCTATACCTTAGTGCTGATGTAAATGCTGAGAATGAAGTCCTGAAACTTTTATCTTAAGACAGAAAGGCATTGTTCATCGAGTAATTGAGCTTAAATAACCCTTAACTCGCGCAAGTATGTCCTGATGAAAAATCATATATGGAATGAAACGTACGTCCTTAATTACACAGCTAATCACATACCCAATACGCCATAACTTTCGACTAAAGGCTATTTGATATTCATCTGAAAGAAATGCACTTATGGTAATAGAGACTTAATAATTACAGTTTTTCATAAAGCCAAGAAAATGCTCAAATAAGAAACTAATCAACTTCGAAGACTTTGTTTTCATTCACAAATATAAGCAAATAATCATTATTATTTAAATGATAAAGATTATGTTTATTGCTAAGATGATAACGGAATTATTCCATCTATTGTTAATACTACTGAAATCTTACTAATAACGCCTAACTGGGACTGCTTTTTCTTTAGTTCGCATGATATTTGATCATTTAATCTACTTACTACTCGTGCACTTGAAGACCACATATTCAATATACTATATTATGAGTTATACTTGAATATCAAGTTTTGTTTTTCTCTACATTTTATTTTCTTTCTGCACTAGTGATTAATTGTTCAAGTATTATATGAGATATAGAGCTTATTCAAATTCAGATGGATAGTGGCTAGCAGTGGAATCGAGGACCCCAGTTTCGTCCTGTTGAGGACTCGTCAACTGGATGTACCTGCATCACAGAGTTGATATTCACTCCACAACTCAAACTCAGAACCATTCGCTTCAAACATCATCTCGTTATCCACTTAGCTACTGAATCGTGATAGCCACTAGCTTGTGTAATAGGGTGAAGTTTTAAATTCACTTGG